CCGGAATGAAATTTACACCCATAATGGCATACCATTTGCAATAGTAGACAACCCAAGGTATTGCAAATGGGGTATGTCCAGTCTTTTTTAGTAGCCATTTGGTCACAAACACCGGCCAAAGTTAGCGTTAGTATTTGTTTGTGTGTGAAAAATGCAAAAAACGCCAATTTTGGCCAGTGTTTGTGACTAAGTGGCTACTAAAAAGACTGGACATACCCCATTTGCAATACCTTGGGTTGTCTACTATTGCAAATGGTATGCCATCATAGGGGTAATTTTCATTCTTGGGCTACCATAGGGTCTCAAAGGCAAAGTAAATCAATCTGGCTTAATTTTAATGTGAAAAAATGAAACGCAGTTTTATATTTGACGCTGTAACTTTTGAAAATTATTATAGCCCGCACATGAGGGGTAGTTAGATTGAACACAAATATTTGTGTTTAAAAACAGTAAAAAGTATCACAGCAATAATATCGTCCATGTAAGTGCTGTTTGTGCATGAAAAATGCAAAAAACTTCACTTTTACTGGCGATATCATCGTTGTAATACATTTTACTGTTTTGAAACACTAATATTTGTGTTCAGCGAAGTCTCCCCGAGTAGAACAGTACCCCCCATGTACAGGTTTTATGGTGTCTTGGAAAGTTATAGGGTTAAATATAGTGCTAGCAAATTAAATTCCCTTTTTACTTTCGGCATGGGTTGTCAGGCAGATCCCGCTAATTGTAATTAATTAAGATACCTAATTATGTAAAAATATTACATAAATATATATGTAGAATTAATATATGTATATATATACGTATGTATATATATGTATATATCTATATAATTTTTTTTAAATATTTTTATTTATATATAGGTATATATATAGTGATATATACTTATATATTTATGTATATAGATATATATATTATTTCGTTCTACGTGTATTTTGATATATATATATATATATATTAATTTCACAAAACAGTTAGAACGAAATAACACACATCTATATATTTTTTAATTATTTATTTTTAATTATTTATTTTATTTTATTTTTTAACGTATTTATATTTTTATTTTTTTTATATTATATATAAATATATATATAACAATAATTATATATATATTTAATCAGTATCAGTCTACGTGTAATTTGATATTAATATATATATATAATTATATATATATTAATAGTAAAATACACCTAGACGCTGTACATGTGTGTATGTATATGTGTATATATATACTTTGATCATATATATATAATATATATATATTATCTAAGTATATATAATTTTTTTTTTTTACACCATTAACTTATTTTATTTTTATTTTCAGCCAGCAGGGGGACCACCTGTAATTACAGGCAGCCCCCCTGCCGGCAATACAGAAGCCAGCTATACCCGGCCATGTGATTGTGGGGTCCTGCTAGGACCCCACTCTCACATGGCCGGGGGGCTTCAACGAGGACGGATGTGCCGCGGGGGCTCCCTGGGAGTCCCCCCCACCGCGATCGCCGGCGTGGGACCGCCGGCGACCGGGTAAGTTAACAAAAACCGGAGGGCGTACAATTACGCCCGGCGGCGTTTAGAGCCGCCTATTAGAGGGCGTAATTGTACGTCCTCCGGTTTTAAGGGGTTAAAACAGTAAAACTTATCACGACAATGAAACCACCAGTAAACGTGCAGTTTTTGTGCAAAAAACAAATATGAATGCTAAATTTGGCCAGCGTTTGTGACTAAGTGGTTACTACAAAAGACTGGACATACCCCATTTTGAATACCGTGGATTGTCTACTTTTACAAATGGTATGCCATGATGGGGTTAATTTTAATAGAAACTATTTAGCACAGGTGTTTTTTGGTGGTTGTAGATGCGTAACAGATTTTGGGTGTCAAAGTTAGAAAAATATGTTTTTTTAAATTCTTTTCATCATATTTTATAATTTTGTTTATAGCTAATTATATAATATGATGAAAATAATGGTATCTTTAGAAAAAACATTTAATGGCGAGAAAAATGGTATATAATATGTGTGGGTACAGTAAATGAGTAAGAGGAAAATTACAGCTAAACACAAACACCGCAGAAATGTAAAAAGAGCCCTGATCCTTAACGGTAAGAAAATTGAAAAACGGTCTGGTCACTAAGGGGTTAAAGGCCTGTACAACCAGAACATTTATTCCAATGTAGCACCTTTGGAATAATGTGTGACAGGCTGTTGAAGCATGAATATTTTGCTTAAAGTTTTGCAGGATTTGTGTGATGTTATAGAACCAGAATCGACTAAAACTATTTTTTTAGTTACTTTAGTTCTTTAACTTGCAGGATACTAATTGCATTTTTAGACAACTGTTGAAATGTTTTTTTTAATATGACTACTAGAGTTGAGCGAACCCGTACCGAACATTACATTTTTTGGACCCCGGACCCGAACACCGACATATCAGTGTATGTTCAGGTTGGAGTTCGGTGTTCTGCGATTTAATGGCGCATTTTGAAAGGCTGCAGGGTAGCCAAACAACAAGCGTTTGACTCGTGTGCCTTTAGAAGCCATCACAGCCATGCCTACTAATGGCATGGCTGTGATTGGCCAGTGCAGCATGTGACCCAGGCTCTATATATAAGCTGGAGTCGCGCCGTACGCACATGAGCTCTTATTAGTGTAGGGAGAGGATGCTGCCGCTTTCAGGGACAGATTAGGAAAGAATTCTGCAAACTAGTAAATTTGGGGCGTGCTCTTCATATCTGAGTGTCAAATAGTGCGGTTACAGCGCAATTGTAAAAATTCTTATTTTCTGGGTGATAATCTGCTAAATAGTACATTTGGGGCATGCTCTTCATATCTGAGAGTCAAATAGAAGCATCAAATAGTGCGGTTACAGAGCAATTGTAAAAATTCTTATTTTCTGGGTGCTAATCTGCTAAATAGTAAATTTGGGGCGTGCTCTTCAGATCTGAGAGTCAAATAGAAGCATCAAATAGTGCGTTTACAGTGCAATTGTAAACATTCTTATTTTCTGGGTGCTAATCTGCTAAATAGTAAATTTGGGGAGTACTCTTCATATCTGAGAGTCAAATAGAATAGTCAAATACTGAGGTTACAGAGCAGTTGTAAAAATTCGAATTGTTTTGGTGCTAAACTGCTAAATGGTAAATTTGGGGCGTGCTTTTCATATCTGAGAGTCAAATAGAAGCGTCAAATAGTGCGGTTACAGCGCAATTGTAAACATTCTTATATTCTGGGTGCTAATCTGCTAAATAGTAAATTTGGGCCCTGCACTTCATATCTGAGAGTCAAATAGAAGTGTCAAATAGTGTGGTTACAGTGCAATTGTAAACACTCTTATTTTCTGGGTGCTAAACTGCTAAATAGTACGTTTGGGGCATGCTCTTCATATCTGAGAGTCAAATAGAAGCATCAAATAGTGCGGTTACAGCGCAATTGTAAACATTCTTATTTTCTGGGTGCTAAACTGCTAAATAGTACATTTGGGGCATGCTCTTCATATCTGAGAGTCAAATAGAAGCATCAAATAGTGCGGTTACAGCGCAATTGTAAAAAATCTTATTTTCTGGGTGCTAATCTGCTAAATAGTAAATTTGGGGCATGCTCTTCATATCTGAGAGTCAAATAGAACCATCAAATAGTGCTGTGACATAGCATTTTTAAACATTCAAATTTTTTGGCTGATAAATAGTACATGTGCGGCCTGCGGTGCACTTCATATCTGAGAGTCAAGTAGAACCGTCAAATATTGTACTTATATTGCAGTTGTAAAAATTCTAATTCTTTAGCTGCTAAAAAGTCAATTTGATTCCTGCACTTCATATCTGAGAGTCAAATACTATGTTTACAGTGCACTTTGACAAATTCCCATTTTTTTGCTCCTAAGAAGTACTTTTGGGGCGTGCTCTTCATTTCTGAGAGTCAAATCGAACTTTCAAATAGTGCTGTGACATGTGCGGCCTGCGATGCACTTCATATCTGAGAGTCAAATAGAACCGTCAAATATTGTACTTATATTGCAGTTTTAAACATTCAAATTTTTTGGCTGCTAAATAGTACATTTGCGGCCTGCGGTGCACTTCTAAGAGTCAAATAGAACCGTCATATACTGTGCTTTCAGCGCACTTTGAAAAATTCAAATTGTTTTGGGTGATAAAAAGTACATTTGTGGCCTGCACTTCATATCTGACAGTCAAATAGAACCGTCAAATACTGTGGTTACAGCGCAGTTTGACCAATTCAAATTTTTTGGGGTGCTAAATAGTACATTTGCGGCCTGCACTTCATATCTGACAGTCAAATAGAACCGTCAAATACCAATATAACAATATTGTAATTCGGGGGCAATACCCTCACAAGTCAAACTGAGAGGTCAGTTTATAGGGAAAACTGTTGCCTGGCTACAATTCTAAAACAATTTCCATATGTCCTTTGCAGACTTTACATGCTGGAAAAACACTGGTGCCAACTGCTGTGGCTTTCTGCAGTGTGCATACCGGCAAGGAGGGCAGGTATTATCTTTAGAATTCCCACAGTTATCCAAGTAACAGATGGAGCGATAAAAGGAACCATAAGAGATTTAACTAGCCATTCGCAGTTTCACAGTCCGGTGACGAGGACCCACACACTGTCTGTGCGGTGGTCAGACGACTGGGACCCAGTATGACTGATGTTGAAGTTATGAATCACAGTGTGGAATGGATTAGCAGGGTCTGGTGCAGGGTAACCACACACCCCCTGGTGTTGAGCACCAGCTTTTGTGTGGTCACATACCAGGACCCTGATGCAGCTTCAGTAAAAAGAGTACTGGATACCGGAAGCCATCACCAGAGTGATCCGCAACTTGGAACAAGATGTGACATTCACTGTAGCGGCTGTGCGCGCTTTCGGCGTTCTCACCCTGCTGCTTCTCGTCTGTCTGCGCTGCGGTGTAACTTTGGCCTTCCCGCTCACCGCCTCATATGCGACTTGCCCACAAGGTGGAACTCCACCTTGCACATGCTGGAGAGACTGTTTGAGCAGCAGCAGGCGATAGTGGAGTTTCAGATGCAGCACGCACAGGTCAGTCGCTCTTGCCCTCCAATTGATCAGAGTTAAAGTATTTCAAGTGGACTCATTACAATTACAGGGCTTCTAAAGAGTCCTGTATTGTTATTTGTCGTCACTACCTTCCCGAGTCGGGAGTAGGTCATTTACGTGCATGCTGCATTGCTTGCATGTGGTAGCTGTTTCTGAGGCTCCCTCTTCGGAATCGAACCCTGATTCCCTGTTACTCGTGGTCACCATGGTAGGCGCAGAAAGTAGCATCGAAAGTTGATATGGATGACATACGAATGCGTCGTCACCTTGTCGTTGGGGAGCCCATTGAAAAAGTACTCTAGCATGACGAGCTGGGTGATCTCCTCCAGGAACTTGGCTTGATGGGAGTTAAGCCAGTTCTGGGTGGCCCTTGTGATGCGGCATGCCCACTCGGCATGGGAGTCCTTCTCCCCTTTCCGGGTCTCCCTAAACTTTCGGCGTTATTGCTCAGGGTGACCGTATACCAGGCCAGGAGGATTTGGGTAATAAAGGGATAGTCTCTGGTCTGCTCTTCTGGTACAGCCCGGTAAATATCCACTGCCTTCCCCACTAGTTTGCTAGCCAGGATGGTGACCTAGTCGCTGGGGTCTACGTCTTGGAGTAGGCACTGGCACTCAAAGTCTTGTAAAAAGTCATCAATGCCTTCTTCTGCTTCCTTGAAATCTTTGAAGGCATTGTATGGTAGCTTGTGGGCCAGGGTGGTTGTGCTTCCCGGCACCCTCTGCTCCCTTCTTCCTTCATCTGGGTTCATGGAGGTCGCCCTCTGTCTATTGGCAAGGACATAGGCTTGCACCTCCTCTGAGGGTGGCTATCAGTAATATGCCAGACGCCATTACACCGCCTTGCGCCTCCTCATATCCGGCCCCTAGCTGGGATTCGTTGCCTCACTGCATGCCTGGTCATCCTCCATGAGCGCAGCAGTCAATTCAGCCTTGTTACGCCCACCAGGCGTTATTCCTCTGACTCCACACAAGTCCTGCAGTGTTGGTCGCTTTAGAGCACTGTCTGTTGGAAGGGACATGGGATCCCTCCGCTTGCCACCAGTTGAAGCGGGACCTGGGTAACGATGGTTATCCCCTTTGATTAGAATAGGTCAGACCCATTTCCCCAGTAACCGGATGGGACACAGTTCCAGGATACAACGTTTGACAATCTTTATTTGGGTACACAGCTTTGCCTCCTGTTGCCTCCTCCTCCTCCTCCTCAGCTTCTTCCTCCTCCTCCTCTACCACCTCCTCATCCGGTCAGCATAACACCTTCACCATCAACTTCAGCACAGCCAGGGGGAAACAACAGCAGGCTGTTTTCAAACTCATATGTTTGAGGGGAAAACCCCACACCACACAGGAGCTGTGGATGGGCATGGAACAACAGCCTGATGAGTGGTTGTTCCCACTGAGCCTCAAGCCCGGCCTGGTGGTGTGCGATAATGGGGGAAATCTCGTAGAAACTATGGGCCTAGCCAGTTTGACGCACATCCCTTGCCTGTCGCATGTGCTGAATTTGGTGGTGCAAAAATTCCTGAAAAACTACCCAGATATATCAGAGCTGCTGCAGAAAGTGCGGGCCGTCTGTGCGTGCTTTTGGCGTTCTCACCCTGCTGCTGCTCACCTGTCTGCACTGCAGCATAACTTCAGCCTTCCCGCTCACCGCCTCATGAGACTGTGCGAGCAGCAGCAGGCGATAGTGGAGTTTCAGCTGCAACACACACGGGTCAGTCGCTCTGCTGAACAGAGTTTTCTTTTTTTATATGTCCCAATATTTTGGGGGCTACCCCAATTAAAAAAAATATATATATACAGTCGCAAGAAAAAGTATGTGAACCCTTTGGAATGATATGGATTTCTGCACAAATTGGTCATAAAATGTGATCTGATCATCATCTAATAGACAATCACAGCAATAGACAATCACAGTTT